GGACTGGGAAAATTAATAGACACGGTCCTCTCTACTGTCCCCTCTGCCTCAGTACATAAACAGTTCTGGATGGATGCTGGAATTCTTTAGCGGATGAGAAGGAAGGCCAAGCTCTGGAGAAAAGGGGATCTGAGGGTAAGGAGTCAGGCCAGCAGCACACGTGATCAAGCTCAACCTAATGCTTGTAGCCCAAGTTCAGTTTACACTCAAGACGGGACCGCAGTCACCCTCACCCCGGGATGGAGTTCTCTGGCAAACCACTTGCACCCACCACCAGGGAGGTTTACCTGGCACCACAGGCCCTTACTAAGACAGATCTCCTGGGAAGACCCATTGAGAAACATAAAAATGATCATCCCTTCGACCCAGTGATCTTATTTCTGAAGCCAGTGCCCCAGGGGACAGTTGAAATGGGAGGGAGGATACTTGGACAAATATCAATGTTGGTTAAATGAAACAAAAAGATGCTTATAGCCACTCCATTCCTAATTGTGAAATAATGCAGCCAGTCAACCACTGATCAAGTGTTTGACAATGTATATTAATTTGATGAAATATTAGACAGCAATTAAAAAAAAACTGAGCCCTTAAATGGTAATGGAAAAATACAATAAAACAGTTAAAAAATAAAAATAAAAATAATTGAGCTCAGTTTAGAAATAATGTTACACGAAAGGAACCCCCCCCCCAAATGGTATGTTTACACTGATTACACATCTAGTAGAAAACCTGTGTAGATCATAATTGAAAGTGGAGCTATAAAGCCTTATCTCTTTAAGGCAAAGATTACTTTAGAAAGAAGACAGTAAAACACGGGTCCCCTACAGAGACAGCTGCACTCTTCTCAGATACATTCGTGACTCAAAAGACCGAGGCTGGGAGCAAGGCTCCTTCTTGTGTTTTCTGGTTTTCATAAGCAATCCTGGACAACCTTGTCAGTACGTGTGAAGGGGAACCTCCACAGGAATCCCATGCCAAGGGCAGGGCGAGGGAGAACCAAGTCTAAAGCCACCCCCGCGCTCAAGTTCAGGGAAGCTTATTTTGATAATGATCAAATACAAACAAATAAACATTACCCCAGGGAAAATGTTCAAAACCAGGCAAAATTGCCACCAAGCAGTTAGGGGGAGTTTGGGAGAAAGTGGCAGGTATAAATGTAGCAGAGAAAGAAGCTGTTTAAATTGAGGATGAAACAGAATATTACTAACTACTCCCATTACTGGACAAACACACATTTTTGGCATGAATATATGGATGCAGCCCTCATGGGGTAACAGAAGATCAATACCAGATCTGGGCGACGGGTTTTCACTAAAAGCTACCTTGTTCATTTAGTTACTTCGATTTTCCGGTTCTCCTAGCTCTACAGCCATTATTACATCATTCTCTCCCTTCCCCTGCACCTCACACACATACGTTAAACATTAGGTGAGGTGTACCCAACCTTTCCTAACAAAATGCCTCACCAACCAGTTTGCAAGAGCAGGTGAGAAGACTAGGGGTTTCATTTTTGCTCACGGTTTTCAGCAGACAACAAATTCTTTCCAATGATCATCACTTGCCTTAGCCGTATAGTTTGTTTTTGTACAGGAATTACTTGATGTATAACCGACTTAGTTCAATTTACTGACTGGAAAAAACTAAACATACACAGAGTGGCTACTGTATGTTGTATTAACTGCAAAAACCAGTACTCATCTGTTCCAAATTCTAAATTCTACTGCCTCATCTGTATGTCACAAGGTTACCGTATTTTGCCGTGTATAATGCGCTCCCATGTATAATGCATGCCCATGTTTTGGTATGAATTGCACACAGGATCATTATACCCGTGGTGTGTAGTCATCATACCCACGTATAATGCACTCTTAATTTTCCCTCAAAAATTTGGGCAAAAAAGTGCACATTACACATGGCAAAATGCAGGGTAGTTGAAAACCACCCATAGGCTGCATTATGGCTTTAAGAAGAAATAAATTATACACAAGTCTTTGGCAAATGTATAGCTAAACATATCAGGGATCTCATGTATATGGATTTAAAGTTTCTCCTTTGGGATTTCTGCAAGCAAACAAAATGATTTATTTAGCCAATTCAAACGAACTGCATCAAAACACACAAAGGCCTGAAGATTAAAATGAAAATAAATATTTCAAAGCAATTTCTGGTTCAAAACATTTTGCTTAGCTCTACAAAGACATGACTAAGGTGTGGTCATGTTTTCCGACGAGGTCTCACCACTACTCGCTCCCGAGATAAACGCTGCCACGAGAATACTGTAAATGCTGCACGCACACCTGGGGGAAACCGACAGCCCCGTAGTCAGCAGTGCGAGGGTCACGCGCCGTCAGACCCCAGGCCGCGTGAGAACCACCACTGGGGTCACGCACTGGACCACGTGTCTGAGCGCCTGAAATGTGGTTAGTGTGATGAAGAAACTGAATTTTCATTTTATTAATTTAAATTTAAAACTTGACACTTGGATTCACTTATTGGCAAACTTTTTAAACATGGTTAAGTACGTTTGGAACAACTTAGGAATATGAATCTACTCTTTCCATTGTATATTTTGTGAAATCTAAATATAGAGCAAGTATTCCTGATGAGAAGTTTTATAAGTAGATATACAGTGGATACTGAAGACTTAGCATGAAAAGAAACGTAGAATATCTCAGTAATATTTTTGAACACTGATTATTGATCATTGAATAATCAGTGTTCAATATTCACCTTTTAAATAGTAAAATAAAAGTTTATGATAAAATTAATTTCCCTCTTTTAATATGATTCCTAGAAAACTGAAAATAACACAAAAGGCTTCAGGATGTTTCTACCCGGCAGAGTGTGGGTCTGAGGTCTAGACTTCTACGCCATCTGCTGGACACATCCTCCCAGAACAGGCGGGTGAGAAAGTGAAACTCAACATCAGAAGGCAAGGTAACAACTGGGCTCACTAAAAGAGAATTGGAAATTGGTTAAAAGTCTTTGAAATTCTACAGAAAATCTCACTCACGGTTATTAGTTGACCATGACCATGAGCCAGGATGCACAGGCTGCCTCACCGTGTCTATCCAAGGTGCTCTGAGCCACAATAGAAGTTATTTGGCGGCCTCTGCCATGGCCACTGGAATCCATCCTCACGGGCTCAACTGCTGACTAGCTTTCCGCCCCTTCTCCACAATTCGCCTTGAATCCTTCTGTTCTACCTTATCGTAAATACATCATTTCTCCTATTTGTGTTTTCCTTCTTCCTTGTTTTTCATGTGATTCTAGGATAGCTAATAGTTTTTTATATTCCAATTTTCCTTTTTGTCTCCTCTTCCTTTGTCCTACAAGCTGTTCCAGTTGGTTTTATAGCTTTAGCTCTTAGATTTAGGGTCTTTGATCCACTTGGAGTTGGCCTTGAATATGGCATGAAATATGGGTCCAAATTCATTATTTTGTTGTGGTTAGTTGTCTCAGAATCATCTGTTGAAAACACTATTCTTCCCCATTGGAGAGTTTTGGCACCAGTGTCAAAAATCAATTGACTGTATGTATATGGGTTTATTTCTGGACTCTCGATTCTATTTCATTGATCTACATGTTTATCCTTGTCAGTACCACTGTTTTGATTCCTGTAGCTTTGTAGCAAGTCTTAAAATCAAGAAGTGTGAATCCTCCAGCTTTGCTCTTTTTCAAGAGTGTTTTGGATAATCTGAGTCCCTTGAAATTCCATATAAATTTTTTTGGATCAGCCTATGAATTTTTACAAAAAAAGGCAGCCAGGTCAGTTGGTTTTCGTGTGTATTTGTCAAGAGGTATTTCCTTGATTAGGCTGCAGAATGACTGTTAATAGGTCTGGCAACTTTGCCCAATATGAAGTTTAGAGCTTAAAGTTCTGGGGAATTTGGGGGTTTGTCTAATACTCCTTGAAATTGAAGCAACAAGACTGAGAGTGAGCAGGTGTTGGAGAATGCATGAGTCTGGAGCAAAACTGAGGCAAAGCTGAATTTAAGTCCCAGGTCTGCCATTTAGATGCCACATGACCTTGAACAAGTCATTGACCCTCTCTGCACTCCAATTTGCATTCTATGAGAATGAGAGCACTTACACCAACACCACTGTGCTTTGGGAACAGAAAACACGTGCAGCACAAAGCCCAGGGGAGGATCTGCTCTAGCACATTCTTACTAAAGGACTCACTGGCCTGAGAGGCAGGCATAGGAGCCTTGGGGGCCTGATGGCCAACTCATACAACTTGTTGACTGCTATAGAGACAGCACACTGAGGTGTAGCAGGCACAGGTAGTCCTTCTGGAGCACTGCTCGCTGACCCATTGATAGGAAAGACGAAGGGATCTACCTGCCCCCCACTGCAGGTCCAGTCTATCCCAGTCAGGCTTCTGAGGTCATGTGGCTCTTGAGAATGACAAGGGCCTAGAGTAGGAGTAACAGGAAGGCAAGCAGAGCTGAAAAACTAACCCATACAGCTAAGGAGCACTTTGCTCTCTGACCAGATTCAACAGCTTCCACATGTGCCCCAGTCATTCAACACACACTTACTAAATGCCCACTGCGCACGGGTGATGATAATCATCACTCGGGATAGGATGACAATAAAAGTTACTGACTTCAACTTTGACCTTTCTGGATTACAAAGTTCTCCTCCCTGGTCTGTCTTATAGTTACAAACATTACTGCTCAATAGTCTTCCAGCTCCAGGGTCCTCTCAGAACCTAGATCACGTCGCCTCCCACACGGTGTCTCCTCATTTGCCACTCTTTGACAGATGCACCATCAACTGATCCAGAAGCTAACCCCTTGGAAAAAGACGTCTACATGCTAGCCTTTGCAGAAGGAAAGAAACAGAGTCCTTAAATCTGAGTATGTCATGAGAGTGGGCACGAAAAACAGGACTGAAAGCGTCTCAGTGTCAAATATTACATAATATTTCTACTCTATCACAGCTTATATGTGAATCCAGATGAACAGTCTCCATACCAATTAGAAAGAAACAGTCTCCATACCAATTAGAAAGAAACGAACAGCCAATTGGCTCCAGATTTCCTATGGTATCATTCATTTTCTTCCTTGCTGACAAATCCAAACTGTATCTTCTATGGAAAGGACAGGAAAAGAAAGTTACAATTCACTCCCTAAAGGTAAATAATTTTCTCCAGTCTAGGGGAGGAAGATACCATCAGCAGTATGGACCAGGGTCAGAATGTTTTTTAAGTTCATGTCACTTGTTTATAATATGATATCATATCATCCAGAGTTTCAAATGTGACCGTGGGGGCTGGCGGTGGGCTGCTGGGGGCAGGAAAGGATGATGTATTTGAACAGCTGGGGCCGGGGCCCTGGCCAGGGTGCTGCTCTTTGTCACTCTGTGCAGGTGCAGGTCTGCTCCACGTCTGGCTACTGAACTGACCAGTTCTCCTCTGACCCACGAAGTAATCCGATGGTGGGGCAAACTCAGGATCTCTTTCAGCCCGGAGATCTGACTGCCTCTTCGACCAGTACCCGAAGGAAAAGTCTAATAAAAATAAGAAAGAGTATTATTAAAACTGACTACTGAATCAGATTAATTCTTACTGCTATTACTTCTTAATTATTATATTATTTCTTAAAAACCACCTCAAATTCTCTGGAGAACATGGATGGCAATAACACAAATATAATATGAGGCACATGTAACGTCTGCAGAAGCACAAGGAACTAGGTTAAGGGAGTGACTACCTCCCAAAGGGCAAAGATTTAAGAAAGGCTCTGTGGAGAAGTCTGGCAGGCTCTGGAAACACTGACAAAAAGGCATTAAAATTAAACTTAAGAGCACTGGCTGGTGTGGCTCAGTGGACTGAGCGCCGGCCTGCAACCCAAAGAGTCGTTGGTTTGATTCCCAATCAGGGCACATACAAGGGGCACGCAAGAGGCAACCACACATGGACGTTTCTCTCTCTCCCTTCCCCTCTCTCTAAAAATAAATAAATAAATTCCTTTAAAAAAATTAAAGAGAGAAAATATAGAAAAATTAAACTCTCAAATCGTTTGCTTGACATGATGCTGTAGGCACTTCCCAGCAAACACAAATGCTACCGTGTGAGTTCAGTTGACACTGTGCAGCCCGTCCGAATCTAAGTGGGTATTTCAGCTCCATTTTTAAGAGCTGCACTCACCAAAGGCACTCACCTATTTGTATATCTTTTACTTTTGTCTTTGATCTCATTAGCTCAGACAGCACAAGCTAATGTAGTACTCACACAGTCTCTTTCAAAAAGGAATAAAACACAGTCGTACTCCAAAGAGAGGCTGCTGTGGGCACCACGGGGCATTTACAGAAAACTCCACACACCCCAGTGAAACCCCATGTGGATTCAGGGTAGTACACTAGCATGCAGACCGTTCTGACCGAACATAAAAGAGACTGCTAAAAACACAGAACACATTAAAATATCAAACCTTTGTAAGAGTGTAAAAGCAGTCCCTGAGAAATGGCATTCCACAGCTGCAAAACCACAAGGCAGCACCAATTTCAGAAAACTTCCCCAAGCACTTCCCAAAAAACCCAAACACCTCATCTTTCCACATGATGCCTTTTGGATCACGGTCTTTTGTAACCGCCCTTTCTGGTGTGCCTGCTCATAAACAGCTCTGTCTGGGCGTCGAGAAGAGACAGGCACAAGGGTCTGGGGAATTCTGTAAGCTTCGGAGGACCACAAAGACTCATCAGAATCACACTGGGATCAGGAGAATCAGAAAAATCTCCTGTGCAGGCCCACTACTGAACAGACTTCTACACCTTGGAGCCTACGCCCCTTACCTTTTCCTCGGTCCCACTCCCGGACATGCGGCACTCCGGGCCTGGTATCCTTCCTCTCCTGAACGATGACTTCTACTTTGCTGCTCTGGGCAGCAATGTGTGGAGTTGGCACAGCCTCTGGTTCTGGTGGTAAGGGTCCAATAACATCTCCATCTATTTTTTTTGCAAGGGAATAAGACTTCATTATAATAAAGCTTAAAGCTACTCAATTTTTTTAATAGAATATACTAATCCTGAGAATAGAAGTAAAAATCAGTATTTATTGAGCCCCTATCATGTCCCAAGAAGTGAGCTAAATACTTTGTATATAATAGTTCATTTAACTCTGTAACAACCCTAAGAAAGTCAGTATTGGTATTACCATTTTATTCCCACTTTGTAGATGAGAAAAATTAAGCTCCGAAATGCCCCACAGGTCAAAAGTGCTAAGAACCAGGACTCAAACCCAGGCTGCATAGCGCTCAAAGTATCTGCATCCCCAGACCAACAACTGAAGGACCAAAAGCCCCCCAGTAATTCAACTGAAGTAAGGGTCTCAGGTGAAGCCAGGGGACTCGGGGTGATGAAGAGCTGAAGCCTGGTGACAGGCTGTTGGCTATTCAACTTTGGCTATATTTTAAAGAAGAATGGATATTTTAAAAACACTGTAGTGACACTTTACAACTTGTGGAAATCACAGATGTTCAGGAGTACAGCAAAAATAAACAACATGCAGAGCTTAACATGTTACAGGGAGACAAGTTAAATGAATGATTTTCCTATTCAAAAATGTTTCTGGTCTCCTTTCAAAGCTAAATTAAACTTGTGTTCAGAATTAGAAAATGGCCCATGCTTAAGCACAAGACTTCTGCGAGGGCTGGAGAGGCTTCTATATGCCCCTAGAACCCACACTCCCCTCCTTCCTTTTGGGACCGGAATGCCCCAAATTTCTGGAAACATGGTATCTCTCTGCACAGAGAGGCAGAGGCCAGTCTGCAGCCTCCCTGCATTCTGGCCATTGGGGATGTAAATGCACAGGCTGTGAGTGACTTCAGAGTCACATTCTCAAAAAGGAAGCTGGGTCCCCTACCCTCTTTCCTCCTTCCTCCAGGCTGCAAAATGAACAGGAGCCAGGGAGCAAGGTTCCACTGTGCAGGTGAGAGCAACCCCCTAGGGCACAGGTGGCAAACACAAGGCCTAAGGGCCAAATCCAGCCCTCCACCTCATTTTATCCAGCCTGGCACCTTGTTCCTACCCATCGGCAGCACCGAGCTCCTTGCCCCTAGTTAAGGAGTAGTTACATTTATGCAGTCCTAAAATTACATTCCGCCTTTTGAAGGCAACCATGAGGCTGATGTGGCCCCCAGTGAAAATGAGTTTGACACCCCTGCTCTAGGGAATGGCAGAAACAGCAAGACAGGAGGAAGCTGAAGACTGGGCGGCCCTCTGGGGCAGAGCGTGAACACCCCCCTGGACACCCACCACCTCTGAAACGCTGAAAGAGAGAAGCAGACTTCCCTCTTGTTCGAGGCCTTCTATGAAGGGGTCTCCTTGTCAGAGCAACTAAGCCCAGACCAGTAAAACTCACAGTGAACTAGTCTGAAAACAACACTTAAGTGTTTCCAAGTGTTTCAACAGGCTTTTTGTAAGCTCATATTCATAAATTTTTCATTTTATTATCTAACTTTGTAAGTATATTTCTTCTTTAAAACAAATTAACACATAATAATCAACAAAAACTATACCCACGGCAAAAAAAAATTAGGTTTAGAACACACATGTACACAACTGCATGAGTCTGAGTTACTATGAAGACACTCAATGTACTGCCAGTTCCCTCATCTGTGACCTAACACTATGCCCTGTGGGTCAGTCCACATCTCTCTGCTCATAAAAACTGCTCCTGGCAGCACCTCAAAGGTACTTTCTTAGAGAACAGAACTAAACAGTCAATTTCAGATTGCTAGCATTACTACTGAGACATCAAGAGAACTAAAATCTTCTCCTTTGAAGTTTATTAACATGAGCCATAACACACCTTTATTTTCTTCCTCTGTTCCATCATCTTTTGATTTTTTCATCTTTTTTTGTCGGAGTTTAGCAAGTCTTGCTTCTAACATAGCTTTTCGCTTTTCTTTTATGTTTTCTCGTTTTGTTCTCTGGTCTGTTGTCTGAAGAGAACAGAGAATTAGAAAATTATTTGCTTTAAGGCAAATTCATAATATTTCTGTTTAAAAGGATGAAATAATTAATTTTATTGTAAAAATATACGAATTGATTTTCATGCCACCTCTGAGAAGCTATCCTTGAGATCTTCAAAATAACACTCAGAAAACACTCTTACACAAGCCCTCTGACGTTCTTTGAAGTTTAGTGAGTGTTCGCAGAGCATCCTGGAAGGTTTAACGTTCAAAAAAACCCAACCAATTCTGTTCTACTTTTTAATCCCATAAGAACTTCCTATTTTCTTACTCAGGCCACTCCATAAGTATATTTGAAACTAAATTCAAAGTTACACAGGTTACTTCTGAGCAGCTATAATCTTAAAGTTTAAAACACCAAAATAATAAGGTAATTACCATTATGAAAACTGTAATTGCATTCTGAATATCAATTTAAATTTCTAATTAATTTGCTAAATTTTTTTGCCATATGGTCCAACAAAACCAGCTGCTCAAATCCCTCTCAACATCAGCTCTGGATTTAATCTGTACCTGTTCACGCAGCATCTCTAAAGTTTTCATCTGCTTATTTCTTAACTCTTTATCTCGGGCAAATGCAAAATATCCGACGCCAAGTTGCCGGGCCTCTGAAAGAAGTCAGAATTATATGAGAGATTACAGATTTCCCTGAGCAGTAAATGACAACCTACAAGAAACTTGGTTAATAATAATAATATACAATAATATTTGGCACAAGTTTTTTAAAAAGGGGAAAAAAAGGCAGAGAAGCAAAAAAGCAAGTTAGGAAGTTTTCATCCTGTTTGCCAACCGATAAACATAACAAACTCATTCATTTTCAGTCACAGGCTGTCCCAGTTTCTCTCAGGGTACAAACTCTTGCGTTAATAGATAGACCCTCTGTTAGGAAGATATTCCCAATATGAGTATTTTTTAGGCTATGAAGTGAACAAAGGGGATAGTTTCAATTTCCAAAGCAGAGTCTTTTATTTCCACCTGAGAACTGCTGCTTTATGAATGAATACTTCCTTTTATGCTTGCCATCAGTTCAAAATAAAAGCATGATTTAAAAGCTGCAAGATGATTATACCATTTTCTCGAATATCTTCATAATGTATGGGCCCCATCGGCCTTTTCAGAGCCTCCCGTTCTTCTTCCTCCCATTGCTGGCGCTGAAGTTCTTTTCTCATATCTTCAGATAATAAGGTTTTTTCATTAGCAGGACTAACAAAACTAGTAGGAGAAAAAAGCAAAAACTATCTTTAGATATGAGCTGTGAAACAGCAAGTTGGATCATGAATAATTGATAAAGAGAACAGTTCCTTACAGAGGTTTCTGACCCACCATACCACTGGGAAAAACTAAAACACATTTTCACCTTTTGTAAGTCAGGCAGCCAACTTGTTACATCAGCAAAATGGAATCCTGTCTGCACTTAAGTCAGACCACTTTCCTACCCATCCTGGTTCTGGGCTGAAGATAGGGAGGGCGCCCGGGCAGGGAAGAGGATGTACAGGCCTCCTCTGGATGGTCTCCTGTGCAGGGCTGAGGAAGCTGCATAGCACTGTGGTCTGGCCAGCGCCTCGTGTTTAGGGGTTCTGCACTTCCCCCTTTGTGCCAAGCCCAGGCCCACCTGAACCTGCAGGTCTTGGGCAAGGTGGAACTTCCCTGAATATTTTCTACACAAAAGCTGCTCTTGGTGCAAGGAATTTTATTCCCTGGGATATTTTAGCAAGTTACCTCTTAGGTGTCTCAGGCCCTACAGGAAAAAACATCTAGCTATAAGGCCCTTACTTCAAAATGCAAAGACATATAGTGAAAAAGTTAATAAGCTAACTGCCTCCCTGCCCCATTTCCTGTGTGATAATCAAGTGTATATTCTGAAATACCTTTTTCCACAGAGGTTTGTTGGTGGGTTTGGTTTAGGCTTATTTGTTATTCTGCAATTAGAAATCCTTCGAAGTACAGGCATACCTTGCTTTATCACGTTCCACTTTATTGCACTTTGCAGATACTGTATTTTTTATAAATTAAAGGTTTGTGGCAATCAAGCACCAAATAAGTTTATTGGTGTCATTTTTCCAACAGACTCAGACGATGGTTACCATTTTTTAGCAATAAAGTATTTTTTGATTAAGGTATATGCACTGCTTTTCTTTTAGACATAATGCTATTACATACTTACTAGACGACAGTATAGTGTAAATGTAACTTTTACATGCGATGGGAAACCAAAAACTTGATGTAACTTGCTTTACTGCAATACTTGCTGTACTGTGGTGGTCTGGAACCAAACCTGCAATACCTGCAATACGCCGGTAAACAGACGTAGCTCCATCTTATTCATTTTAGTAGCTACATGATATGGATCATCCATTCCGGTTGTTCCGAGTGTGGATTATGTGTGTATGTGTATGCTAAGTATGAATAAGTGCTTTAGCAAATATTCGTATCAATTAATAAAAGGTCTCCCTCCTGGAGCACCAAACATAACTGACTCCAGACAACTTTGCCCACAAAACTATCCCATGTCTGCATTTCAGGCCTGGACAAAGCTTTGCATATAAACACACTTACAGCCTCCCCTGAAGATTTTTATCCATCTCCAGCAGATGTGGCAAATCCTTTTTCATGCAGCGCCGGGATCGCCCCAAAGAATCCACATAATCCACCCTGAAATAAAAGTGAAGATATGAAGGCTTTCTATACGACTTTTGGTTCCCTAAGTTAGGAAGTCAGTGCACAGTAAAAAATTAATGTAGGCCTCACACCCAAGAACACTCCAACCTGAGAGACCACTAACACTGACAAGAACGTGCTTTTTAAAGTTAAAAGTTGACACACAATAAACACACCGCCCTTTATTAAATCCTGGTTTTAGAAACTGCAGAGAATGATCAAATCACACATGTCTCTGATTTCAAAGATAAATACCCATAGCTACCCTTGCTGCAGCATCTCAGAACTTACTTTAATCTGTTCTGGACAACTCCAAATGGTTTATCAGCATTACAGTAACTGTGCTTCATACCAGACTCAAATTTTCCTCAGTCTTTCCAAATCCGACACTTTATCCTTTCCTTTGTTTCTTCTAATTGGTACAATTCTTCCCCCAAAATTAGAAATTTATTTCTTAATATAAGTCACAGTATTTGGGGAGTCTCTTTAATTAGGAGGAAGGCAACGTTTCATTAGTAGGCCAGTCTGTTATCTTTTACCCTTAGTTCCTCTTTCCTAACCCAAACTAGACAGTAGTTAGGGAGCCAGGCAGAGCAAAGCAAATGAAATACTCAGACTTTTCACAACAGGTAACACGGACAGATTTCCATAAAAAATATTTCATTTGCGTTATGATGAAACAGACTTTTTATTTTTTAAATTATGGGCAGGGAACTTCCCACAGCCTTTAGCAGGGTACTTAAAAACACAGAGGGTGGCCAGTCCTGCTCGTGGACCAACTCAAGGTCAGATTCCCATGTATGTGACTCGGCTTTTGTTAGATTTCTTTCCTCTCCACATGCTGATTCCAGTGTCAGCCCGTGATTTAAAAACAGAATGTATGGGAATCCATTGCTGAAGTCCTAAAGCTGATTACCACAAGAAATAAAGCTTCAACTGCAGAAAGCAGTTTATTTTTCTCCTTTTCTTCTTCTTCTTTTTTTAATGAATGAAGAAAACCATCTAGCCAGATGGTCTAAGTAATTATTTACAGTATTTTTGCAGAACCATTTTCCACCACCTGGAATTTAACTAACTACTGAAAGGATTTTACAAGCAGTTACAATTCTGAAGCCTAATTTAACAACACAAAAAAGTGCCAGAACTACTCGCAGTGTGTCTTCCTGATTCACCATATGGTGGCATGTGACACCTTCAATTGCCCTCCAAACTCTTCAAATCACTGACAAATTGCTTGTAATGTTACAGGCATTAATAAGAAAAGACACCAAACCTTTCAAAGGAGTTGAGGTTTCGGCTGTGAAAAGCAATTATAGGCTATTCTGATTCTGGAGAAGGTCTCCAAAACAGATCCCATCAAAACAGAAGTGGCAAGACAGTAGCCAGCAACTGCTCTCTGTAATCAGCAGTCACTGAGCAAGCCCTCAGGGAAACAGTCACTGGAAACCCAAGTCCCACAGGAGAGCAAAGTCAGGTCATCTCCGAAGAGCTCTGGGGGAAGCTAAGGCGCATACCCATGAAAAGCTTAACTAACAACAGCAGGCAGGATGTTAAAAGCATCGAAGGTTTGCCTCAAATCTTTCTCTGTTCATGGGGCCAATCATGTCAGTAATAAAGAAAAGGTAAGAGCCAAAACAGTGGGACCTAGCCAAGTGCCACCACCGTCCAGACGAGGGAGAATCCCTTAGAATGCATCCACGCTGATAGAACAGGCTGCACTGTATCTGCTTCTCTCCTGGCTGCTTACAGCAAGCGTGTAGCCAGATAACCTACCCTAACGTGCCAAGAGGCATGGTGTCTGCATTCCTCAGTAGGGACTGCTCTCTTCAGCTTATAAATGACTCCTGCCCACTGGGGGAGGCTGATGTAAGTCAACAAACACTGCAAACAACCTCAAGCAGTTCCTGACAAGGCCCCGTGATCAGGAGGGTATCTGAGCCCCAAAGGGAAGAGGGTGGGCTCCGCACACCCTCGAAGGCAGGAGGCTGGGCAGGCGGAGGTAGTTACTCCCAGGACATCTTCCTAGCATCAGTGCATCTCTACATCACTTTAAGCACTAATGAACAAGTTTCTAAACCATGTCTGACGGAGAGAAAATCATCAGAATGAAATTTGCATTCTGGTCTCTTACTGACACACTGGTCTCTTTATAAGGAAAGACTAGGTTAGTTTCCCCATTATTCGCCTAATGTAGGTAAAATTCAGAATAACTTCAGTGATAAAGATTTATTACAAAATGTCTGCTTGTACTCTGCAGACAGCAGTTTCTTGGATATTCTAAAGTACTCTTACTTCCTGGAGGAAGCTTAAGGCAGACGATCACAAGTAGGCACCGCTATTGCTGCTTTACAGGTGAGGGACTTAATCAGGTCACACTGCCAGGGAAAGGCAGAGCCAGTGCCATCCAGGTTCAAGGTCCATAATGCCTGCACTACACTGCCAGAAAATGTGACAGCCAGAGTAAGGCACGCTGGAAAGAGAGATCACCACTACCTGGACCAACGACTCTCCCTGGAGTCTGAATACGGCCACGGGTAACAAAGGGACATGCTTCTGCTCAAACAATTTGTTCACATCAACAAAACAGGCGTCTCAATGCCCCCTGCACAAGAGTTCAATCTTTATTTGTAATTATTTCTTCACTGGAGCTATTCTTTCTATATCGGTAAATCCAAATCTTATTAGAGTCTCAAAAGAAAAAAAAATTAAGATAAAGAGAAATGGTTTGATAACAACCAACAAAATCACTCTTGAAAGGTAAACACAGCCTGACAACGTTAATATGATTACATCACATAATATCACCAACCATTCTTCACTGGGGTCCTGGGGAGGAGGTATATCTTTTTCAGAAAGATTTTCGTCATCATCTTCTCTTTCTCCTGCCTTTCTAGAACCTCTGTTGGCACCAAGCACCTCCATTTCTTTGCGTTTGTCTATGATCTTCTGTGTGAAATCCACAAGGTACATATCCTCCACTTCTTCATCTAGGACATAAAAATCAACTGTCAGATTCTTGACATCGAAGAAGAAAACCACACATGGAACTGATACAAAGCAATCACTTTCCTCAATGGGTGGCTCCATGCCCGGCAATTCGCTGGTCAATGACTCCACCCCCTGCCACACTTACAAAGACCAAGCCACCTCAAGACTTGACAGGGAAGCTATAAAATAGGCCACTGGAAAAACATACCATGCAAAAAATCTTTAAAAAGCCTGAAGTTTTCTGCTGCCTTGTCAACAATACACTGAGTCAGCAATACTGTCTCAGAATGTAATTTTAAGATAAAAAAACCATTTGATTTCAAGAGATTCATACATCCAATTGCATAGCACAAAAGTAGAACTGCATTTCTCCCGTTGTCAGACCAGAACAATAGATCTTGGTTGTTACAGGGAATACACCTCTTTAATCGGGTGAGCTGTACAACTTAATCCTAATTCCACTGTTGTGGTCTGTAAGTGTTTTAAGGGTCAGAATATACGTAAAAAGAAAATAGTCACTTAAATTCTTTTTGATCCAATGAACACCACTTTCAGACAAGACATGCTGCCGAGATCTGCAGGACATACAGAGATGTGCAAGATGCTCTCTGCCCTCAGCACTTATGATCTCCTTGAGCTAAACGTGTATGAAAAGTTAAATAGAAATCCATGATTTCATATAATTTGGGATGTCTGATGTATTCACAAATAATGTTTATGTGAAGTTTCTCTATGAGGGATTTAAGATACAGTCACTCCAGTCTTTGTCTGAGATGGAACAGACATTAGGTTCCCTATTACCGGATGCTGGTGTTCCCCCGCTGTACAGCATAGAATAACTGAAGCTCCAAAATTTAATTTGCTCAAACATGCAAGCCCAGTGTGCCTATCAGGAGGCGGGCCTGTGGTTTAGACAAGACCAAACCTCTACATCTAGAGGCGTACTGTTGTGCATCTGAATCCCATATTAACAATTCAAGTTGGAATCAAAATAGAAAAGACTTGAAATTTTTTAATGAAGGTTTTCCCACACAAGCAATATTTTTTTTAAAAAGACACAAAATGCCTCAAACAGGAAAGAGATGCACTTCCCCAGAGCTGAGTTATAAGACCACATAATATTGAGTCCACCTAGTTGTTGGCTACCCTGCTGCTTCTTCCGGAAGAAGGCAAAGCCTCTCTCTCCTCATGGCCCCTAGCTTTCGGAGTGCCTAACCTTCTCATGCTGGGTTCCCCACCAACAGGGAACATGCCTCTGCTGTCTGGGTAGAGGGAGCTTGGCTGGGTGGGCAGCCCACAACTGGGATTCAGCCTGCCTCTTTACCGCTGCCCTGCTGATCCCTTTCCCAGCCCACAGGCCCAGCCATACAGTTGGCCCCCTCCTCCCTCTGCTGATCTGCTCCCACCACTCTCCCCAACCTCCCTCTGCTGGCTAATCTGCTCCCACCATTGCCACCCCCACCTCCACTCCCTGCCACTGATGTGCTCCCACCACTCCACCCTGAGGAATCCCTTTCTCCAGCTCTCCAAAGTCTTTGAGACCCCTATTGGAGCTTGTCTTCTCCCTAAAGACTTCCACGTATGCATTCTTTGTAAACTGCTCTACAAATGCTCTTCTACTGTTGTCTAGCTGTAGCTTGGGTCTTCTTTCTCTGGGTGGGTGTGGGAGGTAAGTATGAGGAAAATGGTATCTCTTTTTATTGTTATTTAAAAGCAATTATAAGCACATCACAGACAAAACAGAAAACCATAATTCCTCTCAGTTTTTAACGCAGCTGTAATTGTTCATAACTGTGGCTTATTTAGACCTCGTTTCCTAGTTTTGCTTTGCCCTGTACCACTTCCCTCCACTGATGACCCTGCCCCCTCTTGAGAGCAGAGGATCTGGCTTATATGGTACTTGCTTGGCCCCTCACAACACCTAACACACACCCAATATCCACCAGGACAAGTGAGAAATTACTGCCAATTTTCTTGTCTTTGGCACAAAAACCAATCAGTTTGGTTTTTAAAATGTCCCCTTATTCTTTCAGTTATTAATAATAATTAAATATCATAGAGCTGTATGCATTGTAGAAAATAAAGCATAAATAAAAATTTTTTATTTACCTATAAAGTCTCCTTTAGTCATTTTTTCATATAATTTAGCTTTTTCTTCCAATTTCTCCCTTGGAGAAAACAAGAGAAGTGTTAGAAACGTCTTATAATGCCCCCCCCACACACTGTTCCATCCTTGGCTCCATTACCAAGATCCTCCCAAGAGCTCCAGCCTGATGATGATACAATCCTGACTACAGCTGGCCACCCCATCCCAAGGACACCACCAGATCCAGCCATGCCTGCTCTGCACGCCTGCTTTGCTAAATGTAAGCTCTATGAGAGCATGGCCTATGTTTCCCTTATTCATAACTGTATCTCAGTGTCTACAACAACACCTGAAGCATAGCAGGCATTCAATCGGTTTTTGATAAATAAATGAACAAATGAAGATTCTAACTTAATTTAAATGCCAAATGCAACTTAAGTACCCCAAAGAGAGAATGATGTCCAAATATATACATTTCCCATTTGCAACCTTCCAAGTTGATCACCACATTTGATGCAAACTCTTGGCATTAGTCTTTTCAGACAAGGGTTCCTAATCTGAACAAATAGGAACAAAGCTGGAGGCATCATGTTCCCTGGTTTCAAACTATATTACAAAGCTATAGTAATCAACACAGTATGGTACTAGCATATAAACACACACATAGGTCAATGCAATAGAATTGAAAGCACAGAAATAAACCCACACATATACAGTCAAGTAATTTATGACAAAGGAACCAAGGATACACAATGGAGAAAGGGAAGTCTCTTTAATAAACAGTGTTGGGGAAACTGGAAAGTCACATGCAAAAGAATAAAACTGTACAATCTCTAACACCACACACAAAAACTAACTTAAAATGGATTAAACACTTGAATGTAAGAGCTGAAACCATAAAACTAGAAGAAAACATGGTGGTAAGCTCCTTGACATTGGTCTTGGTGATAATATTTTAGATCTGACACCAAAAGCAAGGCAACAAAAGCAAAATTAAACAAGAGGGACTGCATCAAACCCAAAAGCTTCTGCACAAAGGGAACTATCAACAAATTGAAAAGGCAACCAATTGAATGGGAGAAGATATTTGCAAATCGTATAGCTGATAAGCAGTCAGTATCTAAAATATATAAAGAACTCATACAACTTACTAGCAACTCCCCCAAATAACCCAATTTAAAAAATGCCAGAGATCTGCAACAACATGGATGAATTTTGAGAATATCATGCTAGTGAAGTCAGAGAGAAAAAAATCAAGAACCACATTTCATTTATATGTGAGATATAAAACTGAAAGCAACAAACGAACAAGAAAAACAAACAAAAACTCATAGACACAGACAACAGTAGCAGAGGGAAGGGGGTGAAGGGGTAGTAAAGGGTAAAGAGGGTCAAGTATAAGGTCACAAAAGAAGATTTAACTTTGGGTGGTGGGCACACAATGTAATATACACATGATGTGTCAAAGAACGATACACTTGAAACTTATAATTTCATTAACCAATGTCACCCCAATAAATTTAATTTTTAAAAAACTGGCACATCTGGCCCTGGCTGGTGTAGCTCTGTGGATTGAGCGCAGGCCTGTGAACCAAAGGATCGCAGTTCGATTCCTAGTCAGGGCACATGCCTGGGTTTCGGGCCAGTTCCCAGCAGGTGATGCACAAGAGGCAAACCATACATTGATGTCTCTCCCTCTCTCCTTCCCCTCTAAAGATAAATAAAATCTTTAAAAAAATTGGCACATCTGAATAGACATTTTTCCAAAGAAGATACACAAATGGCCCCTAAGTACCTGAAAAGGTGCTCAACATCACTATTCATCAGGGAAATGCAAATCAAAACCACAATGAGATACCACCTCATACCTGTTAAAATGTCTATTATCAAAAAGACAAGAAATAATATGTGATGGAGAGAATGTGGAGAAAAGGGACCCCTTGTACTCTGTTTGTGGGAATGCACACTGGTGCACTTTGGAACATAGTACGGAGGTTCCGCAAAAAATTAAACAGAGAACTACCATATGATCTAGCAGTTCCACTTCTGAGTATTTACCGAAAGAAAATGAAAACACTAACTTGAAAAGACATATGCACCCCTCCATTTACCGAAGCATTGTTTACAATACAGCCAAGCCACAGAAGCAGTCCAGGCGCCCACCAAGGGATGAGCGGATGGAGAAAATGGGACGCACACACAGTGGGGCGCGGCGCAGCCACGGAGAAGGAGGATGTCTTTCCCTGTGTAGCCGCGTGGATGGACCCTGAAGGCATTAGCTAAGTGAATTAAGTGAGACAGAAAGAGACAAATACCATGTGATCTCACTTATAGGCAGACTCTAAAACAAAAAAAACACGAGTTTATACATACAGAGAACAGACTGGTGGTTGCCATAAGCAGCGGGTGAGGGTGGGACAAATAGGTGAAAGGGCTCAAAAAGCTACAAACTTCCAGATACAAGATAAATTAACTCCAGGATATAATGTGCAGTATGGTGATTATAGCTAATAATACTGTACTGTATATTTAAAAATTGTTTAAAAAGTGAATCTTAAAAGTTCTCATCACAAGAAAAAATATTTGTACCTATATATAGTAATGGACACTAACTAGACTTACTGTGATTATTCTGCAATATATACAAATACTGAATCATTATGTTGTACACCTAAAACTAATGTTATATGTCAGTTATTTCTCAATAAAAATTTTACATATTTTTTAAAATATTGCATCTTGCCCTGGCTAGTGTGGCTCAGTGGATTGAGTGTGGGCCTGCGAACCAAAAGATCACGGTTCAATTCCCAAGCAGGGCACATGCCTGGGTTGCGGGCCGGTTTCCTACAGGGGACTTATGAGAGGCAGCCATACATTGATGTTTCTCTCCTCTCTCCTTCCCTTCCCCTCTAAAGATACATAAATAAAAATTAAAAAAAAAAATATATATATATATATATAGTATCTTTCAGCAAAATTAAAATTCTGAGAATATGTCCATAGTGAAAAAGATGTCTCAGAATTAACATACCTTTAAGTAAAATTTCATGTCAGTTGGGGACAGGTCAAACACTAAGAAAAATGACCCCCCAAATATGCTAATATCCTGCCCTTTTTTTTCAGACCCAGAAGAGCTGAGTAACTTTTGCACCCACGGTTTCCAACTGCAGTTTTATTATGCAGTGGACCAAAAGCACACGTGGCACAGGCCGGAGAGACGTGACAACCTGGGTCCTAAGTCCAGGCAATGCTACAAATAAGGGGAGCGTGCTTCTTCGCAGAAGAATGCCAGCAAATAAAATGAAAAAAAAAAAATAAAATAAAGATGGAAGAACAAAACTAGGAAAATCATCATTTTGAAATCATCAAAGTACTAACTGACAAGCGGCATGACTCATTGGTGAGGTCAGCAGTGCTGTGCGAGAATGTGTTGGTGGCCGGAATGTTCGCACGATCTCGTGGTTTCCCTCCGCAGATCACTATTAACTACAAATGGGGACGAGCACTCTCACAGCGGTAAAATGGGGCAGGCCTACCACAACGAAGGGACTCAGACTTATTATTACTGTCACAAGTGAAACTGACAATATAAAACTCCCAATGTGATTCAAGGGAAGGACACATTATCACCTACGTAGAATTGTTATCAAAAGTAGTTAATGAGATTCTTATTAGATTTTGGGAACCCACAGAAATAATGGGCCTGGACTCTTGAAAACCATCAATAGCATAACAGGCAACAAAAAGGCCAGGGAACTGTTCTAAAGTAAAAGAGACTAAAGCGATACGACAAAACAAGTAAATGGGATGAGTAACCGCTGACTGAACCCCAGGTTAAATTTTCAAAAACAACTTTAAAAGACATAATTGTACTAGGATAAATGGTGAAATTTGAATACAAACCGTATAACAGATACTACTATTTTCTGCGGTTACATAGAAGCATGTTCCTGTTCTTAGAAGATATATGCCAAAATATGTCAAGTATCATGATGCTCGACAAAGTTACTCTATGCACACATAAGACAGAGGTGGGGCATGTTTGTTTGCGAACTTAGGTGAAGAGTATTAAATGCTCTTTGTTCTCTTCTTTCAGTTACTCTGTTGATTTGAAGTTTTTCATATTAAAAAGTTGGGTACAAAATTTAGTTTCTAAATGCTAATGTCATACTACCTAGCCCAGAACCACACTCCCGCATACTTCTTAAACACTTGTTGAAAATCTTAGTGCCTAAAAGAGGCTCAAAGTGGGACTCTGCTTAAATGTATTTTTTTAAAGATTTTATTTATTTTTATTTAAAAAAAATTTTTAAGTAGACATTCATTGATTTTTATTTTTTTTAAATTACTATATTATTGTCCAATTACAGTTGTCTACATTTTCTCCCTCCCCCCTCCCCCCCACCCTATTTATTTATTTTTAGAGAGAGGAGAAAGGAGGGAGAAAGAGAGGGACAGAAACATCAATGTGTGGTTGCCTCCTGTGTGCCCCCAACTGGGGACCCAGGAGCAACCCAGGCATGTGCCCTGACTGGGAATCAAACAGGTGACCCTTTGGTTCTCAGGCTGGTGCTCAATCCACTCAGCCACAGCACCCAGGGCTGTTTCAACTTTAAACTAAAGTTGAGTCTTATCTTCTTCTAAGATTGCAAATACATCTGCAAATCACATTATTTTTAGAGTATATTTTATATTTAAAGAACATTCTGCTAGAAGGATGATAAAAATTTAAATTGTAAATCAAAAAGAGTAAAAGGTGAACTTTCATTTCCTGGCTTGGGTAACGGACGTGGTAACAACACTGACCAGAGTCCAACTTTACCTGGCTTTGTCTAACGTCTTCTGTTCCTCTATCTTCTGTTCTGCATCCTTCTCAGCTCGATTTGAAACTCCTGCATTTTGTTTGTTCCAGATACTTGGTTTCTGGAGAATAATGTGGAAAGACAAAACAGAGCCTCCAAGTGACTGAAAAGCACCTCTACTTGTACATTAGAGAAAAAAAGACACCATTAGATCTTATGAATCCATGGAGATAACCAGATCTTCTGACAGACAACTTATGTCCTGCAAACAGAGTGTACATGGCAAAGCTGGAGCTGAAAAGAAAAGCCCTAAGTCATATAAAGAACTTTTTTATACAACCACATAGGGTTCCTGCTTGATCTTTTATCTCCTGAATGATTCAAGACTATAATGAAAATACATATATTACAAATAATTATTAATAGACACATTATCTATAAAACTGGAAAGCCACTTATAACTCTTAAAGATTCTGATATTTTTGCTATATTTCTACACTATCTGTTTATCTTGGTTTGGATTTATAACACCTATGTAGCTAGATAATTTTCCATGAGAATGTAATAAACCACTTATTAACAGCATGTACTTTTTCAAAAGAAGTGCTAAAGAATTAGAACATTAAGATACACTTTTAAATAATCTTACTAATTTCTATTTTAATACTTAAGACATCTCATGCAGATGGTCAAATACAAGACAGGGATTTTTCCTTAATATTTATATATAGCAGATACCACAGACATTTTCAAAAGACCTAAGTATGATATAATTCCCGATGTTTGGAATCAATGGAGATAATTAGATCTTATTTTTACCTTATTAGTTGTTTTTGGTTTTCCCAAAACTCCAGAATCTTTCAGAAGTTTTTCTTGTTTGAATTCTTCTTGTTTTCGAAAGAGTTCGGCCTTAAGGTCTACCAACTAGAATATAATAAATAAACAAACAAAAACACTTATTCAATTCTATGAATGACTGGATTTCTAAGTTGTAATTCTCAAAGCAAGATTCCAAGTTCCTATAAATGGACAAAAATAAATACAAAACTAAATGTTTACATGTAGAATCCAGTAAAAAATAAAACTAAGCCATATTCATCTTGTCTCCACTGGAAATGTATTTCTGCTCTAGCTCTACACACTCAAAGGCTTTCTTCTGAGCAAAGGGAAACTGACAGAGCAAAGTAAATGAAGTCTGCATCTTTCAGATTCAAATTCAACTAGCACTGTTAAGCACCTGTCTGACTGGCACTGCACTTGGCTTTTTCATATGGTATAATCTCATTTAATCATCACAACGATTTATTATTTCTACAGGGAAATGTTTTTGTTTAGCAACTATCTGACCACCCAGCATGTGCCTGGTGTTTAACACTGAAGAGGAGAATACAAACATGAATTAGACATACTCCTGTCTCACAAGGAGCCTACAGTCTAATAAGAAAGGTAACTTACAGTACCAGTAAGGAATAATAAATGCTGTAAGGGTAGTAGAAATAGCATAAAAATTCAGGTAAGGGGGCATTTCCTTCTGTCCAGAGTGATGAGAAGCAGCTTTGAGCCGAACCTTAAAAGATAGGCAGATTTCAATAGCTAAAAATAAAGTGGAATGAGTGAATGTTAAGAAAGCTTCCTAGTTTGTTTTAGTATGTTTCAGAAACTCTAAGTTTAATTCAATCACAGCGTTCAAGAACAGGAAAGTCCCGGGCAAAGGAAAAAGGACAACTGAGTGAATACCCATTCCTACCAATCAGCTGTGTCAGTCACAGGTTATAATGGCAGTTTTCTTTTTAAGAATCTGGTACAGCTGCTTATGCACATGAGTATTTGTAAATCATAACTTACAAAGCCCAGTATCATGGACTGATTTTTAAGGGAAATCAAAATGACTTAGTTCAATGATTTCTACTTTGGAAGAAATCAATTTAAAAGTAGCCCTAGCATGAATAATGCAAAGGGCAATTCATCCCAGGACCTAATATTCTAAATTTAACAAAACATTTTAAAATCATTCACCTTTTCTTCTAAGCTTTTTTAACCACATCAATTTTCTGCCCATACATTTTCCTATTCTACAACAACTTTTTAATTTTAAAAGGAAGATGATCAGAAAATTGTCATGTGGCATTCCTATTTTGATCACTACTAATTTTAACCTGTTGGAATAAGATAACTTTAATATTTGTATCTTTTGGTTCTTAATCATCAAACATGGTAATTAGTACCATTTTCAGTATTAGATGAGGAAAAGGGGTTCAAATATTGGGATACTTAGATGGTTTCCTTGTACTTCCCTTGTATCCTAATACTCTGCAGTAATTCAAGATTAAATAAAAAGTTAGGAAATTTGCTTTGATATAATGGAAAAGGCAACCAGACTGAATGAGCCGGTTCTATCACTAAGAATTCTGTGTGTAAGCTGGGGATGTCACTTCACCTTTCCAAGCCTCTTTTTCGTTATGTATAAAATTACTAGCACCTACTTCCCAAAGTAGTTGGAGGAGTCAAAAAGATAGTGCATGTGAAGTGCGGACACAACTAAGAACACAGAACGGGGTTTCTTCCTAGAAGTAGCTAACTTAAAACCGGGGAAAAACAAAAACAAACAAAAAACGCTTACAGCCCATCAGACCTGACAGCTCCAAGGCACCGCATCGTCTTATGGGTGCATTAACAACCGTTTAATTCCCGGTTGGGGAAACTGTCACACTCTGATGTTTTGGATAGGAGAACCAGGAAGGGGAATTTGTAAGCACAGGAGGCTGTTCCTTCACGATCGTAAGGAAAACCAGGCTGGCAAGGAGGCCTGGACCCGTTGTCGCAAAGGCAGGCAGGGAAGATTCCGAACCAGGGAAAGTCACCAGGTTTACGTCCGTGTCTGGGGGAGGAAGCCCAGCCCAGGTGCATGTCCGAGGGGAAAAGCCAAGTTCAGGGTCCTGTAGGTAAGAAAGTTGGTCCAGGTTCCCGTTTGAGAAAAGCCAGGTCAGGGTTCCTGTTTGAGGGGAAGCCAGGTCTGGGTCCCCAGTTAAGAAACAAGGTAAGCCAAGATTCTTCCCTGGTGGAGGCGGAAAGAACTCGGAGCCCGTAGCATCACCTATATCCGCACTCACCGAGGAGGCCGTGACATCCAAAGGCTTTTTCCTGCGGTCCATGGTCAGGCAAGAGTATTCCAGTCCGAGATGAGACCTTCACAAATCCCTGCAGGCTTTTTTTGCCTTTTTTCCGGCGCAACCGGAAGTATCTTGCCAGGGACGCTAAGTTTGCGACACTGGTGCCATCTTGAGAAGGTCGGATCAATATATGTACGGTTGCGCCATTTTAAGAAGGTCAGAATGCCCAAAGTTGAAGCTAGCTGCTAAGGCATCTTGGAGAGAGCGGAAGATGGTACTGACTGGTGTCGGCGCCATATTGAGAAGGTCTGATATAACTTTCAGCTGATCGATGCCATCTTGAGTAGGACATTTAGATGTGGGCGATGCCGCCATCTTGGGGAGGAAAGAATGAACTCAAACATCGTCCTAGCGAAAAGAGAGGAAAGTAAGAAGTGGAAAGATACAAGTAACATTTGAGGACCTGCTGTATGCCAGGCACTGTCTGGTAATTTTCAAACGTTGGTACATTTGCAAGCGTCTCACAAGTCATATGATATAGGAATTATTATATGAATCATAGTAGAAATAACAATAAAAATAGCTAACAATATAATGGTTACTATGTGCCACTTCATATATTTCAGTTTGTAAGAACATGAACTCCAGAAGCCAACTTCTGTGACCTTGGGAAAGTTACTTAACTTCTCTGTGCCTCTGTCTCCATATGGGAATGAAACACTATTTAATTAATGAGGTTTAGTGAGGATTAAATGAGCTATTCGATAAAAATATTAATTATTGTGATAAACGAATGACCTCCCTTTCCAAAGTTCCCATCTTCTAATCCCCAGAATTTGCAAATATGTTGCCTTATATAGCAAAGGGAATTTACAGATGTGGTTAAATTAAAGATCTTGAGATAGGGACATTATCTGAGTGGGCCCAGTGCAGGCTCAAGTGTCCTTGCAGGGAGGCAGAAGGATCAGAATCAATGAGACAAATAGAAGACGCTTCCCTGTGGGCTTTGAAAAAGGAAGATGGGACCACTGCCAAGGACTAAGACCAGCTTCTAGAAACTGAGGAAAAATTAATCCTCTAGACACTCCAGAAGGAATGCGGCAGCATTTGACAAGATTTTAGGCTTGTTTCAGACTTTCCACATCCAGAACTCTAAAAGAATAGATCTGTGTTGTTTTAAACCACTAAGTTTGTGGTAATGTGTTACAGCAGCAAAAGGAAACTTCGGATACAAACGATAATGATTGTAGCAGTGGCATTACTGCGTGTCCGGCATGTGTGGGACTCTCCTCCTGGGTTATCTTCTTTAATCCTTGAATGAGCTCAGAGGTGGGAGCCATTATCTCCATTTTACAGAGGAGAAAAATGAGGCCCAAGAGGTTAGTGACATGCCAGAGGGCATTTGCTGGCTAGCAGGTGATGGAGCCTAGAGTCAAAGAATAACTGAAGACATTGTGTTACTTATTTGCACCCTATATATTTGCAAAAAGAAAAGCCCATATAGCTTTCATTTAAAAAAGGCTAGAAGAGGATTTTTTTTTTTTTTTTAAAGAGGGAAGTAGGGAGAAGGGCCCAAAACAGACTGGAAATCTGTCAGTTGGTACTGGGGCCAGTCAGAGTGTTTAGATCTTGGGCAGCTGGAAAGAAAGTAGTTTTAGTTGTCCATGGATGCTGTGGAAGACCTTAAGAGTTTAGTTTTCTCTGTGTAACACTTGCCAGTGTCTTCGTTGTTGTCCCCATGTTTTTAGGCAGCTTTGTACCATCACCCGACTAGAAGTTCTCACTACACTGGTATCCAGCCATTTTAATTGCCTGCCAAGCCATTTGATTTACTAAGAAAAAGCCCCTTTATTCCCCCCAGCCCTCAAGCACAAGGTCTGGAGAAGCATGAAGAGCTCAATTGTCGGTTCACCAGAATGCCCTCCTGGCTCACCAGTGGTTTTTCACCTATCCCATTCCCTCAAATTCTCTTCCTTTGCTGCTTTTCAAACATCCGAGTCTGTCTGGAATCATCTTCCTCTACCAAGCACAAAAAGTGAGGCTGTAGCCCTTGTGTTCTTTACCAGACCACACTGTATTCTTAGGGTGTCATCTTCGAAACCAGACTTCGGGCCCATGTCTCAGGAACAGACCTCTGTCTGTCCTGGAAGGGGAAGGCAGGGGTGGACTGGTCTGGTGAAAAAGCACAGGATTTCCTCTGAGGAGGCTGGGACCCAGTCCCAGCTGTGTCCCTTGAGTCTCCTTCAGAATATCATGTTGCCCCACTGAGCCTTGGTTCTCATACCCAGTTGGGCACACAGATATTCCAGATAAAGAATGTGGAAATGATTTTCAAGCTGGAAAGTGCTGTGCCCGTATCACTTGCAGACTGCAGAAGTTATGCTCAGTGCCAATTTTCTTGCAGGAGAAGGCGTGCGTGTGACTATGGTCTGTGTGGTGGCAGGCAGTGTGATATGTATGAGTAGGGCAAGGACAGACTGTCACCCACGGGGAAAGCCCTGGGTACCTAGCAATGGGCAATGCTGGGCAAACAAGGGCCTCTCTTCCAGGGTAACCTTTCCTCCCCAGCACATTGCTGGTCATGTGTTTTAGACCCCCTGCCTGACCTTATGAACCACTGGTCATGCAGTTCGGACCCTCCCCTGACCTTTCCTCCCATACCATATTGCTAGTCATGTGGTAGACCCCTTGGAGGAGGAACACGGCACCTAAGAGGGACCTCATGTGATTCCCATATGGAACCTTGTATTAATCCCTAAGACACAGGTGGCAAACTCACGGCCCGCAGGCCGAATCCAGCCCTCCACCTTGTTTTACCTGGTGGCAGCGCCGAGCTCTTGCTTAACTGTTAAGTAGTAGCTACATTTATACAGTCCTAAAATCACATTTGGGCCTTTGAAGGCAACCAAGAGGCTGATGTGGCCCCCGGTGAGAATGAGTTTGACGCTCCTGCCCTAGGGGATGACGCCCAGGCCTCAGTTGTGTTTCAGCTCCAGGCCCAGAAAAACAGCAGAACCAGGTGGGCGATGCCATGGCTGCTATCAGCACCAGCCACATTGACTAACTGTCCCCTGCCCTAGCGGTGAGCAATTAGTAGAGACGACAACCCTGAAAGGACACATCTTGAAAGCTGATTAATATTCTACAGGAGTTTCCCCCTGAGGCCCCCGATCACACACAAGACAGCACACCCAGTGCGGCTCTCTCGGGGGAGTGCTCCAGCGCCCCCCCGGCCCGCCTCCCCCAGCTGCATTCTCCTCGTCTCTCTCTTTCTCCTAAGCTGCTTTTGCCTCTGTAACTCGTTTCCTAAGCCGATTTCTTCTACGGCTCACTTCTTCTGCCCCTGTGAATTTTTAAACAAACTTTCTCTTATAGTTTGAGTCTTGGCTCCGAGTTCTCCCTTAGCCAGTACTCAAGGACTGAAGCTGCTGACCCGCTGTCCGGTCTGACTTTAGCAGTCCAACACCTGGCGCTGCTTCACCTCCAACAGCGGGATGCTGTGTGTTGTGCAGTGTTGTCAGCTCCAGTTTGTGCCCGTCCCTGCTGGGTCCCAAGGCGGTGGCCCTGGTGGGAGATCCATTATCTTCTTCCTTTTCATCTCCTACTGAGTTTTAATAGTCCAATCTCCTAGGTGCTCTAAATAAAAGGGGAGAGAGGAGACCTTCAGAAACACACTGCAATTGTTACCCTGTGAGAATGGCCACCAAGCCATGCTCTGATTTGTAAAGGGGGCCCTGCAGTCATTTTCCAACATGAAAGCTCATAGCAACATGATTACAGGCTGTAGCCTGTGCTGCTATTGTAATGCTTTAACCGGTGGTTAAGTCAAAAGGTTTAATTTAGTCCAGGCCTTTTTTTAGCACATGAGTGATTTTTCTACATATCCTGTTTCCTCAAAATAAAAATGCATCTCTCCTTGATGTGTCCAGTCTGCAGCACCTCAACCTTTGTTCTGTCTCCTTTGTACCAGCAGACTGTCTCTGATAATAAATTACTCAGCAGTGGGTGAATTAGCTGAGTCCAATGTGTGGGAAAAGATTAGGTTGGACCCAAGTAAGGAAATGAGGTTCTAAACACAGGCACAGGATGAAGCGTACAGATAACGACACTCTTGCCCTGGATGACAAAGAAGCTAACCTTTATTAACATCGGGCACAGAAATCTGTTATTGGCATTACCTTATTGAATTCCCACAGCAACTTCAGGGGTAAGTGCTATTATTATCCTTATTCTGCAGATGAGGAAACTGAGACACAGAGAAGTTAAATAACTTGTCCAAGGTCACACAGATCATCTTGGTCCCAGGATTTGAACCCAGGCAGCCTAGCTCCAGGACCTTCCTTGGTGGACCTGAGGTAGACCTAAGACTGTATTAGCATGGCATTCATTCACTTATTCATTCATCCCTTCAACTATACTGGGGACAGGGGAACTTTTTATAGGAGCCCCAGAATATTTCTGCAGGAGGGACCTGTCAGTAGGTTATTGCAGGCGGAAGGAATTGACTGGGTAAATGCCAGAGGCCCGATTGTGCAGGCTAGGACTGGACAAGGATCATGTGGGGCCTCGAGCTTGTTTGCAGCTGAGCTTGCAAATGTGGAGTAACAGGATGGTGAGCAGCGCTTTTCCTGCAGCCCAGGAAGTCGGTGCTTGAGGACACAAGAAGCTGAACAATGGAAGTGCTAAGATTTCTACAGCCTCCAGAAAACCGCCAACCACAGGGCTCATTCTGCCCCCACCCTCGACCCAGTGGCTTACTAAGAGCGGAAGAGGGTGCCTTACCATGTTCGACCCCACCCCAGCTGCACCGCATGTCCAGAGACGGCTGGGCGGAGGCAGAGGAAGCCCAGTGAGGGGTTCCAAGGGTGGGCGCAGAGAGCAAGTCAGGTGGGGACATCCTTCAGAGAGACCTGAAAGCCAAAGCAAGGGACAACCAAGGCTGGAGAAGCCAATAGCATTGCCTCTTGGCCCCTGATCCCTCCTTTTGGCCCTGCGTTAGCGTCCTAGGGCCAAACTGGGTAGCATAAAACAACAGAAATTGATTGTCTCGCTGTTCTGGAGACTAGAAATCCAAGATCAGGAGGTCAGCAAAGCCGTGCTTCCTCT